ACACCGGCCTACGCGGCGCCCCACAGTGGGCAGCCGCTCCCCGCAGCGCAGTCCTCTCCGCAGTCTCAGCAGACGTATCCCTCACCTCAGTCGACCGAGCCACCAACGATCCCGTACCCGACCCTGCCGACCGTCCGGCCGTACCGCGGTACCGCCGAGGTACGTCGGGCGTACACCGACCCGGTGCCGCACCAGTACCCGTCCACCCGGAGACGGGAGTTCCTCCCTCCGGCCGCCGCGCCGTCCGGCCAGTCGTACCTCAGCGTGACGCGCACGGTCAGCGGCGGCCGGCCGGGAGCGCCCGAAGTCACCGTCTCGCACCACACCATCCTGCCGAGCGGTGCGCCGCCCGCCTCAGCACAGGCGGCCGCCAGCGCCGGCGGAGACACCGTGGGAACTTCCACGCACCCTCAGACAGGAGGAAATTATCAAAAAGCAGAGAACTTCGTCACAGGTGATATCAATAACCAAAGAACGTCGAATTTCTTCAACCCAAACGCAAACTACGTCGACAATAACGCAATCTTCAAGAGCACCGACCACACATTGCCTGAGACCAGAGTCAGCACCGTTAAGTTTGGCACTGAGCCTGTGCGGCCGGAGCTAGCTGAAGCAAAAGCATCTGAAAGTGTCGTGCCGACTACTGAAACAACGCTGGCCGATTACCGTTTCGACCCGGCGGAACATATTTACATTACCCCCACTCCCGGTAATTCTGAGGGACAGTTCAGCCGTGAAGACGTTTCCCTGGGCGCGGTTCTGCCGCCGCCTCCGACTGAGGTCGCCGTGCCGTCCACTGTGGAGCCCCCTATCGTGGCGGAGACGGCCTACCGGACCGGCGGCCAGCCGGTGGCCGTCCTGCCGCCACAGAGTGACACTCACGTCCTCGCACTGGTGAGCGCCCGGCCCGCTACGGCACACACCTCAGAGACAACCGACACCCAGCACCAAACGGAGGGAGACGGAAGTCCCTCGGACCACCACACTGGACAGGGGAGCAGTAACGCTCCCCTCCAACCGGACGAATTCCAGCACCCGTTCGGCGCCGAGAACGAGATACCCGACTACGCTCCCGGCCCCGAATACCACCACGAGGACCACTCGGTGCACCACGACTTCGAGTACGCGCACTACCACGACCTGGAGCACAGGCCCGTGGACTACGTGTACGCGGAGCCCGAGCTGCAGCTGCGCCGCCCGCCGAGCGGCCACCGGCCGGCCGGCTGGCGCGGCTGCCGGCGCTGCACGCGGCGCCGACCGCACCCCCAGCGCCGGCGCCGTCCACCGCACCACCACCGGCCGCAGCGCCGCCAGGGAGTCGGCACCGGAATCCTGCCGGACCTGTTCTCGTGGCCGCTGCCGGCACTGTTCCAGAGCTCGTTCCGACGGAGGGCGCAGCGCCGGCGCTCGGCACGCTCTGCCGTCCACACCGGGCGAGCTGAGGGGGACCGGCCGGAGGGGGACCGGCTCCGGCCGACCCGGGGGCGCGCCGCGCGCCTGTTCGACGGCCCGCTGAGCGTGCCTCTCACCCAGCACGGCCGGCCGTTCCTGCACACGCTGCGGCCGCAGGTGGCTACGCCGCCGCCGCCGCCGCAGCGCAGTCGGTTCGTGGCACTGAGCACGCCGGAGACTCCGTCACTGAGGGACGGCGTGCCGGTGCCGGTCAGCCAGCGGCACACGGCCGGACCGACCCTGGCTCCCGGCCGGGAGAGCACCAACGCCAGCGCTCCCACCGCCGCCGCTACCTCTACCGTCACACCACCGTCCGTCACCGAGACTACCAGCGCCCAGACACCGGCCGGCGGCGCCACCCCGCCAGGACCGCCGGCAGTGACGGCGCTCACAGCCGCGCCGGCCAGGAACAGCGCCCCGGTCACACCCGTACCCCGGCCGGCTACGGCGCCGGCCCCGCCCGAGCTGCGCCGGCACCTGACGGGGGCACCGAGCGCCGCCGTCATCCCCCCGCCTCCACCTCCGCCCCCAACGGCGAGGCACCCATTCCGTCAGTACCTGGCCTCAGGGAGACTGGCGGCCGGCGAACGAGCCAAGACGTACTATCTGAGCTCAGTGACAACCAGAGGATCCAGCGGGGACGGAGAGATGGACACTCCGGACGGAGTGTCGCCGCCCCCTGGTCGGCACAAGGAGCCGGATAATGAGTACCGCCCCGCTGGGGACTCAAAAGCAGAGGAGATGAGCCGCATAGAGTCTCCAGTGGATAACACTATCGCGGACGCAGACAGCCTTAGCGTCATGAAGTTTCTGGCCGGGTTTCCGACGCCTAAGCCGACGCCTCGACCTGAGGATGCCACCGTGGCTACGCTGGGACCGAGCCGTCGGCCGACCGCCCGGCCGACCCAGACCACCGATCGGCCGACACGACCGGCTCAGGCCGCAGGCAGGCCGACCGGACCGACGCAGAGGCCCGCGGGCAGGCCGACCGGACCGACGCAGAGGCCCGCGGGCAGGCCGACCGGACCGACACAGAGGCCCGCGGGCAGACCGACCGGACTGGTCCAGACCACCTCAGCCCGGCCGGCCCGCAAGCGCACCACGCAGGTGGAGTCGCGGTTCGCGCCGCAGCGCCGACCGACTCCGACCGTGTCGGTCTCAGCGGGCGGCAGTCGCCGGCGGCGGCCCGGCAATTCACAGGTGCTGGGGGCCCGTCCCACGGCAGAGGCCGGCCCGGGCCCAGCGCCGCGGCCCACCGGGTCCCCGCGGCGGTCCGAGTTCCGACCGGCGCGGTGGTACCGAGGCCGGACCGACCTCTCGGCCATCGGCGAGCGGGTCATCACGCAGGTGGCGGCGCCGCAGCTGCTGACCGCCCGGCGCCGCTCCTGGTGATCGAGCAGCCGCTGACCGGAGGAGAAACAGCCGCTGACTGGCGGTTAGAGACAGCCGCTGACCGGCGGAGAGACAGTCTGCCGTTCCGGAACGGCCAGTACGGCAGATTAGACCGGCCCGCGATCGACGGCAGTTTGTGCCGCGTCCGGGCCGCACGCTCTGCCAGTCGAGCGACGCGACCCGAGCCGCTGCAGAAGTGACCTGAAACCGGCACACCCTCAGCGCACCGCCCAGCCCCGTGACGGGAGCTCCGGGATCGAGCAGTCCAGCGGACACGTGCGACAGATAGCCGTCACCCGGGAATGAGGACGGCATACTCATTACTCAGCGTTCAGCGGAACTGGAGGGGGGGGGGGCAGTTGTGACCGGTGAGCGTACCGTGACGGTTCCGTGTTCCGTGAGTGGCCCGTGACTCGTGTCCGAACCGGTGGCCGGAGCGCCGCGGCTGTGGGCCAGCAATACGGGTCGGGGGCGGCGAGCGTGACCTTTCCGGCGACACTGCAGAGACCGTCCATTGTTATCCAAGAGAAACTGAAATTTCTAGTTTTGATGAGAGAAAGGATACTGCATTACCGTACCTACACAAACAATATACCTACAAGCGGGACATGCACTACTTCGCTCGCCTGCCGCTGCTCACCGCCGCATCAGATGAAATGTTTGCCCTATTACCAATGTTTAATTAGTCACGCAGGTGTGCATGCGTATTTATCTGAGATTGTTTTCAGCATGAATGAGTGTTACTGTTTATCGAACCATCTGTTATTACACAAACGCATGTCGCATTGTTATTTTACATTTTAATATACGACCGCAAACGCGATATTCCGTCTTTCGTCAGAGGTGCTCTAAAAGATCAGTACCTAACGAGAGGCTTGAAAATAGCAGCAATTCAATGAGTGGACTGTGGAGTGGAATTGGAGACGTTCTAGAACGATGAGCACTGGGTAGTTTGGCAGCGTCTCGAGTAACCTCGATGTCAGCCATAAAGGACGTGAAAGTTGAGCATGAAACTTCAAATGCAACCACAGTATGATAGTAAAATCCATTCGGATTCCCGAGCGTTTCAAGCAAACGTGACTGAATTTTGCTCTCCCCTTTACACCACCTCCCGTCTGTACGCCGTAGAGTAAAAATGTTGCATTCATACGGCACTTATGGCAGCTGTAGGCTGTAGGGGTTCACAGACAGGCTGAGGGAGATGCTCGGAACAGTTCAGCACACGGTGCCGTCCGCTGCACCACCCATCACCTCGGAGTCTGAGACCGAGCGGCGTTACCCGGTACACAACACTTTCGCTATTTACGCTGCCGTCACGGACGGCAATCAGCATCCGTTTTCTACGCAGCAAAAACCAGCCTTCCGCCGTGTGTGAGCGGCGCGCAGTCGTGGCGCCGGTGGGCCATTCGGCACGGTCGGCGGTCGCGATCCGCCGCCGCTACTGTGATTACCAACACCACTGTCACCACCTCTGCCGCCTCCGTCCGGCCGCGGAGGCCCGGGACCGGGGACAGCGCTGCAGCAGCGCTGCAGCAGCGCTGCTGTGACCGGCACCGCGCACCCCCTGGCCGGGTCAGCAGCGCGCCGGCTGACCGTCTCCTCGGCCTTCCCGGAGGACAGGGACCAGGGCCAGCGGCGGCGCCCGTCACGGCCGCGCCCTGCAGCGAAAGTGGTGCGCCGCGCCGGCACGGGTGGTCGGCAGAGGTGATCCGATGTGCGCGCCCCGGCCGCGGTCGGCGAGCCCTGACGCACCACGCAGCCCTCCCCCCCCCCCCCTCCCCCCTGTCGGTCGGACCGACTGTAGTACTGTACGGCCGGAGACCGGATCCCAGCGACACCGCCAGTCACCGGCACGAACCGGGCCATCACTGCCCGACTCCTGATCCGAGCATCAGCCGCCGGCAGTGGCGGTGACACGACCCGAGCAAAACGCCCGCTCTCGGCGCACAGACGTGCCGCTCCTGATCTCCGGTCGGCCGGAAAGTAGACCACTCACTGTTCGGCCCAGACGGTTCAACAGGGGGCATTTTCCGACGACAGCGAGAACATTGAGGTTAATGAATGTTTCCAGCCATGACCGAACAACTGTACCGAGCCTGAGCGACTGGAGAGCTATCGGTACCGTCAGAAGCAGCAGGACCAAGCGAGAAATCAAGTAAACGTAGTAAACGAATGTATTGTTCCAGAAAGAGCAACTGACAGGCAGGGGCGGCACTGTTAACGCACATTTTAGTTATGTAAAAGAAACTGCATACTTAATATTGTCGCAATATAATTCAGGTCGGGCGCAACCACCAGTTCACTCAGATTGACAACCATAGGAGTCCGTTATTGTTCAGTGGGGAGGAAACAAGCCAATTATCACAAGGTTTCTCCAGTTGTAACTGGCGACTCCTCCTATATGCCCTGCATCCGTCCTCACCTACCGCGTGCCGCGCTGGCGGCGCGCCGCCACCGCGCCACCCGCCACGCTGTCACCATCCCGCCGGATTTGGGGAGACCAGAAGCGTCCCACGGCTGCGCCCGGGCAGTGCCCACCCCGGTCGGTTGGGCAGCGCCCCGCCGGCACCTCGGCGGCGCGGCGCCCGCCGCCAACCAAACACCGCAACAAACGCACCAAACGCCCGAATACAGTCAGCAAAACACCAGAATGCAGTCCGCGGTCCGCGCGAGAAGCTGACGCCGCCGGCGCCGGGGCGTCCCGCCGACCCGCGGACGGTCACCGGAGGCGACAATTTTGGAGCGTGCGCACGCGCGCCGCCGGCGCCGGGCGGCGGGCGGGCCGGCCTGGAGCCGCCCAGCTGCGCCCGGCACCGACGGCGGCCGGCCGAACGGAACGGAACAGGCAGGTCAGTCGTGTGTCGGGAGAGCTCCTCGCCAGCGGGCGGTCCGGCCGGGCCGGCGACGAGGAGCCCGGCTACTTCTTCTTGGGGCCGCCGAACAGCGGCTGGCCCTTGTCCTTTCCGCGCAGCTTGATGCCTGGCGGGTGGAGGGAGGGAGGGAGGGGGTCAGGGAGGGCAGGTGACGGAATGAACGTTAAACGTACTAACCCTAACTAGCTGCCTCACCGACATCAACGAATTCCGACGAAGGGTTCAATAGTAAAATCCTTACATTAGGAAAGAATGACGATCATGAGTGCCTTACGTGGTAGAAAATACAAAAGTCAGACAAGAAGACGCAGCTGCTTAAGAGTTTAAAACAGCAATACCAATGATCAAATTAACTAATGTCGTACAGAAGACCAAGCACCTCTCTAAACCTAGCCCTTATTCCTAAACGGGTTTGAGTTGAAAAAGTGCAAATGTTCATGAAGGTACAAATGATCACTCACCGATGACCTTCTCGATCTTTCCCAGAATGACGTTGTTGGGGATAGCCTTTCCCTGCTCGTACTCCTGAATAATCTGCGGCTTTTCGTTGATTTTCTGAAATCGCGGTGGTGAAATCACCCAAATCAACGGTAATACGAGAGTTCGGTGGGCTAATAAATATATCATATGCATATATGATATATAAATATTCATTAGCTCACATTCATAGATAACATGAATCATGTTATCTATGCCATAACAGATTCATGTTATCTATGCCACATTCTATAAAATAGGTATCTTCAACAGAAGCGCCAGAGATATTCTACGTACTAATCTAAGCATTGGTAGCTGTGCGGTCACTATTCTTTTATCTTTTTTTCTCTCAAAGCTCACGAAGTGCCGATCCGATGGCGCTCGGTTTCGATGTCCTAGATGCAAGAGTAACAAAAAGAGAAGAGTAGAAAGCATAAATTTAAATGGAATAATTAGTCAACAAATTTACGGTTCCCTAACAGAAACAGCTACAGAGCACGTCACACATTCTAATTTGGAAAAAAATCATTATTCAACAAGCATTGGCACAGCCGGTTCATGAGGTACACTAACCTTCCAGGCGGTGGGGGGGGGGCATTATTTGCCCCCCCCCCCTTTACTTTTTTCGATATATCTCGAGAACCGCTGCGCCGATCGTCACCAAACTTTCAGTACCCTCCCGGGAGCAGCTAGCGCACATGGTGACCAAAAATTTTTCCAAAGGCTATGATAGGTTGGCCGCTAATGACGTAAGAGTGACGTCATTTTTGCCATTTTCGACCCAAAAAAAAGGTTTCGCGGGAAGAGCTGTCAGGCCTACAGCTTTAGAGATACAGAAAAATGTTTTTTAAATAAAAGGTGTGGAATCAAGAGAGCTACAAAACTGCTATTTCGGTTTTTCGAATTTTTTTGGATTTTGACCCCCAAAAATCAAAAAATATATTTTTTGAATATAATAGCCAAAAAATCCAAAAAGTTTTTTGAATTTCGAAAAAACGGAATATATGTGATAGTCCCTACCGCCTTCTATCTACATACCAAATTTGAGATCGATACCTCGTTTTTTGGCCAAGTTATAGCGAAAAAACTGTTCAAAATTGATGACGTCAAATTTTCAAACTCCATTTTTAGCAATTCTAGACCTCGTAGCGCAAAACAAAGACCACCATTAGACTCCCCGTGACGAGCTGCATCGAATCGATACCCATTTTATGCAAAAATATCAACTTTGAAATTTGACCTTTTTTGACCTGACCTTGACCTGACCTCCACCAGAAAGTGACCTAAACCGTACCTGATGGTCTTATAACCAACACCATTGAGTTGGAAATGAAAAACTGGCCATAAAACATGCATCACATAACCTTAGTAAAGTTGGGCTCATGTGGTGACCCTTGGTGACCTTTGGTGACCTGACCTGTGACCTGACCTGGTATGACCAGTGACCTCTAATAGCAACATATGTACTAGACAACTGACGCCTTATCGCTGATTTTCGACAAAATGCGTTTTACTCGGTGTTATAGCGCTTTCCCTAGAAGCCCTGTGAACGGTGAAACATTTTATCTTTGACCTGACCTGTGACGTCATCGGTGACCCCGAGGTCAATGAAATTTGGTTTCCCTCTACAAATTTGACAGGGCTATCGAACGCCGTTTGAATTTTCCGGATCCGTCCAGTAGTTTCGGAGATACGGGGGGGGGGCAAAAAAGTGCCCCCCCCCCCCACCGCGTGGAAGGTGGCTGGTAGGCCCACCGCCTGCCGGGCTAAATGTGACCGGGAAAGACACTTCTATCGTTTTCTTTTATGGTGGCAGCCCTCTGTCGTCTGCTATGTAACAACTAAAATCCCAGTCGTTTATCGAAATCTTTCAGCCGATCTCCCATTATGACTTTACGAACTTTGAAATCAAAAGCCGCGAATCTACTAAGCACAGTTGAGTGACACTGAAGAGCTGTAATAGTTGCGAAGCGTATCTTGCGAAGATCATTGACCTGCATCAGTTGCACGATTTCTTAAACTTCCTAGATTCCTCCAAGGCCCGCAAACAACGATCGCCAGCAGACCTCCTTTTGACAGCATAAGAACAGTGGATGCCGTAAAAGCGATAAACAACCGGCGGACTATAATTGTCACACTCACGGTGGAGAGGTCCTTCTGCGAGAGGTTCTTGGCCTGGCGGCCCTGCTGGATCAGCTTGCCCACGTCCAGGGAGACCTTGCTGTGTTTCAGCTCGTCGTGCTCACTGTCCAGCTTGGCCGTGTTCTTCGTCACCACGTGCTGTTTGTTGGTGCCGGCGTTAACTGCGGCACACAGACGGCATTAACTGCGGCACACAGACGGCGTTAACTGCGGCACACAGACGGCGTTAACTGCGGCACACAGACGGCGTTAACTGCGGCACACAGACGGCGTTAACTGCGGCACACAAACGGCGTTAGATGGTTGGAGAAATGAGGTAACAGCGTCCTTCCTATACAAATGCGGTTGAGTAAAAAAAAAAAATATACGTCAAATTGACAAGGATAGGTAAATGACATATTGAATAGCGTCATTTGTAGTCTTGGCCTCGTTTCATAAAGCAAGTCCGTAACTTACGCCGGTTTTTGGTCTTGTATTGCAAGTGCATGTGAAGCGATGACGATAATTTCATTCGTTGAGTTTATTTATCTTGCAAGCAAGAACAGAAGGGAAAAGGGGAAATAAATTTATCGCTTCTCATGCACTTGCAATGCAAGCCCAAAAACCGGCGTAAGTCACGGACTCGCTTTATGAAACGAGGCCCTTTCCGTAAATGCCTTTGTTTCAGAGGCTCCCTAAGCGAACGATAGCACACATAGGCATCGTTCTTTGTGACCTTGTGGATCAGTGCCTGTTCGACGGCTTTGCGGCAGTGAGCTCGAAGCCAAAATAGTGCACGATATTTGGGCCCCGTGTGTTAAACAGCCCAGCTGGCAGCTGGTGAGAGAGCTCCATATATTGGACCAAGCGGCACCATGTCGTCAACTGATCTTGGGTAGAGAGTTCCACATTAGACCAAGACGCATCTCGTCGCCATCTGACGACTACAATGCGTCCTTCCCACGAAGGTCACATGATAAGTGTCACAGGAGATACGGTCGGGACGCGAGAGGTCAAGTTACAGAGGTGATATTACGCAACACACACTGTGAATAGTGCACACAGAACTACAGACATCCAGTTAACTCCTCAAATAGCAAGCACTCTCGACAGCATGACGCGCCGCCGGAGTCCGGACTCGTCGGCAAACAGCGCCCGGCGCCGCGGTACTCACACTTTTGCTGCGTCTCCACCGCCTGACCGGTCCGGATGGCCTGGTTGACGGCGCTCTCCGACCGCATCTGCGCCGCTTTGGGCGCCTTTTTGCGCAGCACGGTCACCTTGTCCCAGTCCTCCATGATTAGGTCCCTGCAATGACGGACAGAGAGGTGACCTCTGGCTATCAATATATGTACCACGACACAGTCAACCGCAATAAAACATATGCTATTCTCAGTGGGCATGAATGCCCCTGCCCCGAGAGCGCTCACAGTGTACGTGCTACTTTAGTACGATTCGGTATTTGAAAACATTTCCATCCAGAATATTGCCGGTATCGTAGCTCAGTCCTAGTCCATCAAGCGTTGGACTCCGTGTGGTGAGGGCACACGTCCCGGGTGCAACAGTCCGGTTCGAAGTGCGACGGACGCTCGATGTTTATGAGGCTCCTGACGGGTGTGGCAATGGTTGGTTGTAGGTCGTGGCCAGCCGAAGTCAGTGAGGGGTCCTGCTAATGGCTATGTGCAGCTATGTGCCTTCATTATAGTTCGGACTCCAAATGCTGTCATAAACCCGGCATTATGCGATAGGAGGGTAATGATTTTCGATCAGGTCATCGCTGAGGTCCCTGGAGGTCACCAAAAGGAAAAAAAAATATTACGAGAAGTCCATTTGGACAATTTTTCACAAACTGGCGTATAACTCGTGAACCAAAAGAGCTTGCGCCATGGAAAAGCCCGCTCAATAGCTCTCTTAAACTCTTTCGCCATAATGTCCTCAAACTTGACCTCAGGTCTATGTTCTGGCCCACAGAGGGTAAAAACCACCAAAACACATAAAAATGCATCATGTCTCCATAAAAGAATAATTGATGAACACTTGAACAGCTGCTGGTGGCATTTTGTAATCTCTGCTAGCATGACCCTTTTGCTGGTTATCAGCTGCAACCTGCCCATTGCATATGGGTAGAATGGTTATTGTTCTGTAAATATCTCATGGTTATGACATGTTTGTTCAAAGCAGAAGGAAGTTGAACAGCTCTCAGAGCAGCAGATGCATTTTAGGGATAATAACCTTGAATCACACAGACTCTCGAGTAAAATGACTTAACAGAACATCAGAACAGAACAGTACCAGAAATGAGAAGAGGTTTCATGTGGACCCTTAAGCAGTGTTTGTGAATGGCCTATAGGCCTGTTTATATTTTAACCCTCACCCGTATCGTTCTTTTCTTTCCCAGCCGCGAACGTATAGGGGGGGGGGGGCGTTGAGCCCCCCCCCTTGCCGTTTCGCCCCTGATCGAGCTAGAGCTTCACGGAAAAAACGAGCGTGTTGCCCGTGACGAGAGGAAGCCGATGATACCCAATTTTAAGGTCCTAGGTCATTGGTTGACCTTCCAGGTCAGGTCAATGACCCAAAAGTCGGGAAAATCGGGACCTGTTAGAACGTCGTCAAGTATGGCTACTAAGGGGTTTTCGGGGTGCTGATCACGAATATCATGCTAGTTTTGATCACAGATGATGTCTTCATGCATTTAGGCTTCGTAACATGTTACCAAGGAACCAAAACTACTTCGTAAATGTTTACATGGTTGCTAAATTCGAATTCAGCTAAAACAATTAGCCTAGAAACATGTAAAACTCGAAAAAGTGAGCCGAGGTCATGAAAGGTCAATGACCTGACCTGACCTTCAGGTGACCTTGACACCCACCCTAATACATAGCGGCAACATCATATCACATGCTTGAATGCTTGAAACTACGGAAAGACTGTAAACGCGCGGCTAATGCGAGCCGACATACGCAGAATCACGATTCCGGCCAAACATGGTCTCGAAAAGAAGGGAGGTCACAGGTCAAAGGTCATTTGGGTCAGGGTCATGAAATTTTCAGGGTAGGTGTAAAATTGATTAACGCGAGGGTACTGAAAGTTTGGTCGCGATCGGCCGCTTTTTACACGAGTTATTCGCGAAAACCGAGGGAGGGCGTCCCTTTGACCCCCTCCCCCACCCCCTATACCAGCGAGGGTTAAAAAATAGTGATAAGAAATAGTTTAAATGAATTGAATGGGTACCGAGATTTACAACATTGTGATGTTCATAAAATTTACTACCTAACCACTGTATTTAAACACTAACCAGATAACTTCACTGTATCTATCTGCCATTCACCAAACCAAATCAAAATATTAGTCATACTGTGAGTTGCTTTTCAAGAGATTATGCCAGGCAAATATCATCATATTGCATATTCTTTATATCATAGGAAGATATGTGCCCATATGAAGTAAGATTTACATCATGAGTAATGTCAAGGTCAGGGTTTGATGGATCCAACCAAGCCCAAACCCCAAGGTCAGTGGTTCATCTTATCCAAATCAGTTACCTATGATTATTACAGCTAGTTCCTCTTCATACAGATAACTGAATAACACTAAAACTCAAAAATTTTCAAACTCAAAAATCTAAAACTCAAAAACAAAAACTCAAAAACTCAAAAGCCGCTGTTTAAATCGGGTGACATTTTAGACGAGAACAACTACCGGCCTGTGTCAATTTTACCTACCGTGTCGAAGCTAGCCGAACGTGTCATATGTGATCAGCTGATGTGGTATCTTACGAGCTGCGACATTATCTGCCCCGAGCAGCATGGTTTCCGGCCGGCCCACTCCGCGGAGTCGGCCATGCTTGACGCTGTCAGTTACATTTCTTCTCAAGTTGACAGGGGGCAGGTAGTCTCTCTTATAGCTGCTGACACCTCTAAAGCTTTTGACAGCGTTGAGCGTGGCCGGCTCGTGGAGAAGCTGGGCTGGTATGGTATTGACCCCTGGTGGTTTGCCGACTGGCTCAGTGACCGCAAACAGACGGTCAGGGGCGGCTCGGAGTCCCTCCCGGTTTCCCACGGTGTGGTACAGGGTAGTATTCTTGGACCGATACTTTTTACAGTTTTTACCAACGACCTTCCGTCTCACGTACCGTGCGGCAGACTGATTATGTACGCGGACGACACACAATTCATTAATACCTGTGGACAGACCAGTATCGGAGAACACGCAGCCGACCTAGAGGTCATGCTCGGGGTGGTCCAGGCATGGTACAATCAAAACAGCCTGAGGATAAACCCGTCAAAAACAGAACTGATCATGTTCGGAAAAAATCACGGAGCCGATTTTTCTATCCAGTTTGCCGGTGCAGTAGTTCAGCCATGTGAGAAGGTGAAGGTGCTGGGAGTGGTGCTCGACTCGCGCCTACAGTGGGTGGACCACGTGTCCTTAGTGGTGCGCCGGTGCTACAGCACCTTATCAGGTCTCTCAAAATTCTCCCATCGGCTGCCGAGTTCGGTCAAAAAACTAGTCGTCGAGTCCCTGGTGTTCCCACACATTTTGTACTGCGCTACTGTTTGGGGCGGGTGTAATAAAACCCAAAGACATAGGGTTCAGAAAATTCTAAACCATGCCGCGCAGATCGTGTCGGGATGTTCACGTCGGACGCACGTTACGCCACTTCTAGCCCAACTGGACTGGCAGAGCGTGGACTCCCTCATACGCGAGAGAAATATCATTACCGTCCACAAGCTGACACACTCGCATCTGGCTCCTGTCAGACTGAAACAGCTGCTAACACGGCGCAGTGAGGTGTCAAGCCGCTGTACCCGGGCTACGGAGGCGGGTCACCTGGAGCTGCCCCAGGTGCGCTCTGAGCGGGCCCGGCGGCACTTTTGTTTCCGGGCCGCTATGAGCTGGAACGATGCCTCTGATGCTGTCAGGGAGCCAGTAACTGTCGCCACGTGTCGTGCGAGACTGCGATCAAAGTGAGCTTCTGCACTGTGATGACTGCATTTTAACTCTGTATCAACTTTGTGTATTAATCTGTAGAACGCGTCGCGAGGTACAGTGTTTTATAGTTAGGCTGTGATTCTTGAGCGGTGACAATAATATGTAGGTATGTAGAAACCATGTGATCATAATTTGTATGTAGGTACCAATACCATACATGATGCTTCAATGTATATTGACGCAAGCTTTAAAACCCACCATGTGGAGGCTTAAGATCGTAAATAAAAAAAAAAAATATGTGAATAGTTCAAAGAGATGCCAATGTTACTAGCTTGAGCTCCGGCTGCAGATGTTACAATCACGGATGGGTACCTAATTGTAATAATTGTGAAACAAATGAGCCGATCAATGTTATCCACAAGTCTAACTGAAACTAGGAGAAATTCTATCGATATATTACACTTGAACTTTATTACATATATTATGAAGAAACAAAAAAAGCTCAACACAGTTAAAAATATAAACCCTGATTCAATTTTCAATGGCAAGATGAAGGGCATGGGCCATCACCATGGACGATATCAGCGCAAATAACAACAGGCCTAAACAACCATTTATTTAAGGTTGCGGCCTCTAAAATTTGTCCCGAAGTTAATCCAAACTTTTTTAGTTTGTTTTTCACCAAAAATTAAATAAATGACGGATTACCCCTTACAAAGAAGCAAAAATCCCAGCCTCACCACTCCAGCAACGTGTTGATAATAAAGAAAAATTTTGTGCCGCACTTGTGACAAAAAACACAAGTCTTTTGTGTTCAATACGGTGTAAATTGCTGTGTGCCTGCATCTCAAGGCCTCTTTGAACCAATTGATTGAAAGAAAAACATGAAAATGAACATTTTTTCCTGTTACCAGCGAAATATTGAACAGTAGAACAAAGTTGGGTAAGTAATTGTGGCCCCGACGAGATTTTGGTCGGAGCGCTGTTCGGCGGCCGGCTAGCGCGCTAGCCCGCGCACACATACGTGCACGTTGCCCCGGCAACGGGCTATTGACCAATGAGAAGCGCTCTGCGGGGGGCACAGGTATATGAAAAATCGCAGTGACGTTGCACTTTCCTCGCTTCTCATTGGTCAATAGCCCGTTGCCGGGGCAACCAGCACGTATGTGAGCGCCGGCAAGAGTACTAGCCGGCCGCCGATCAGGGCTCAGGATTTTGAGTTGGCCGTGATTAGTCAGTTTTTCCAATGTTAAAATAATGTTTTTCATTCATTTTTATTGTTCAGGTTTCTGGAAGTAGTTGTGGTGCCCTAATCGTACACTGGCTCAGCTCGATGTTGTGTCCTCTGAATTTATTTCGAGAGCTAGAAGCTGAAAAATACGATCCCATCTCAATTTCAATTTCCCTTTTCATTTTCAATTTGGCTTTGGTGTCAGGATGGACAGGATTGTATCAGAGGGCTTTTCATAGGCACGGGTCGTTCATGGGTTGCTGTGTGCCGTGATTGAAGGATGATGTAGGGACGCAGTGGGCGGAGGTTGGTTGGAGGCTCTACAGGGCTCATGAATGAAAGCCCTCAGATAAAAGTTGAAATTAAAATCAGTTGCTTTTGAATGATTAGCAAGTGTGTATATGGTCTGTGGTCCTTTAAGTTCTTTGATATAAGCTGGGTGTGTATATGACAAAGTCTTTTTTAAGGGGTTCCCTAAACTCATTAAAGTTGTCAAAAATGAGTGGTCAAAGTTCTCTGCACCAACATTATGACATATCTAATAAGCATTTCTTTGAGGTATATTTTGATAGATTTATAGAATAACCCCATAAATTGTAATTTTGAATAGGTAAGTGCTTTCCCAGATTTAATGCACAAAGAAGAACTGACACCAGCCAAGACACATAAATATTGCTGCAAAAATTTTCATTTTTGTGGTAGGTAGCTGAGTAGAACTAATTTATGTTAGAAGATGTGCACCAGAGCTTAGAGGCATTGTACATTGTATGCTGGGCAACCACTGCAGTCTATAATAGAAGTGGCTGGTTTGTGCTTCAGCAGGCACAGCACAAGTATCAGTTTGAGGCTTGAGCCAGGGGAATTTTTGTGGGGGAGGCAAGGCAATTGAATTAATGGGTAAATGGTTGAGGTTGCAGTGAGGTGTTGAGGTTATGAAATAACATTTCAAGCCTATGTAATATATTCATTGCTGACTCTGGTAAATATACTGAGCAGGGGCAAAAGTCACTGAATGGATCCATTACTTCTGCAATTGAGGTTCAGTCCTCTTGGAGCTAAATCTAAAAAATTCATGAATGGAAGTAGCCTCATGAGGCATGAGCTCAAGATTACTAAATAGGTAACCATAGAGGGTGGGACTAATTACACCTTATTAGGTATGAAGCTATATACAGCTAACAGTGAAAACTTCTGACCATGAGGCATTCACTCACCAAATTAATATCCTTTGCAGATTTGATCAAAAATGGCAACTCCTTACAAGGAGTTGCTAGACCTGTCACAATGTCTGAAAAGGGAAAAGTTATTTGTGGAGTCAGAGAAGGCTCAGATTCAAGATTTAAACATCAAGGTAAGAATGTTAGCAGCAGCTGGGGTTTCTAGCAACCAATTAACTCTTTCAAGTGGATGGGATTACCTTTCCCCTTTGTATAGTATTTGTTTGCATTTTCGTCATCTGCCATTTTTGTATTGTATGCACATTACTTTTGCCTTCTTCTCTCAAAGTTTGTGTCCTTCCAATGTTACTGTTGAAAAAAGTTAAAAACACAAAAGTTATGATGTCCAGTCTCCAGTCATGTGGGCAAATGCCTGGTACTTGAATGTTCACTATTTAGGATACCCTCACTGGGTATGGGAAGCTGTTTGGCTGGGACAGTGTTGCCCATCCAGGCCTATGTGTTTCCTCTGTGCCTGACCCGCTGACACGCCCCCACCCCCGCCCCCGCCCCTCCCCCTCCCCGGCCCTTGTAGGTGATGCGCGCCGTCGAGGATCTGTACCACCTGTCGTGGATCACGCGCCAGCAGCAGGTGAACCTGGAGGGTCTGATCCTGTCGCGGGGCGACAGTACGCCGGCCGGCTGCTGCCGCCGAGACACCCAGCTGCAGGCGGCCAGCTTCGTGGACAGCTACAAACAGCTCGGACCCATCGTAAGTCGACGACGCGCCGCTTCCCACCGGCCGGCCGACCCGGCATCGACCCGGACTCGGAGGCCTCAGGAGCCTCAGTAACTGTCCCTTTTCACCAGTGACCGTTCTAGGTACTTCAGTGAACCAACAGATGGGCGGTGAAGAAAGTGAGATATGCAAAAGCTTCTTTCGTTTTATTTCAGCTGAATGTTTAACGTTTTCACCTCAGGGAATAATTGATAAGTTGGTGCATAGAGGAGGTGGTAACTAATATTTTAGGGAAGGAACTGATGTAATCCAGTTCGTGATCGCGTTTCGGCTGCCCGGCGGTAATATTTTAGGGAAGGGGCTGATTTTATCCAGTTCGTGATCACATTTCGGCTGCCCCCTCAATGCTTTAGTATAGTCATTTCTGGAAGTGCTGTGCCGTGTCGTCCCGCCCTCCCTCCACTGACGGACGTACCGGTCTATGGCTGCGCGCAGGACCCGTTCTACTCTGAGCTGCTGCAGCAGCTGCGCAGCTCTCCGCCGCTGGTGGCGCGCCTGCTGCTGTACTGCGAGCAGAGCGAGCCGGCGCGCGTCACCCAGCTGGTCAACACCGTCTACTCGGGCGTCTTCGGCAACGGCATCCTGCAGGAGGACGGCAGCTGCATCCTGCAGGCAAGTGGGCGCGCACGCCTCCGGCACAGGGGACCGGGAACTGGGAGAACCGTTTTCCTCCGATCGTGGGCTGAGGGGTCCGCACTGCGAGGAACCGGGTCCGGGAGCTCAGGAGGCCGCATCCACCCCTACGCCGCAGAGCCTCCGGGAGCTGAGGGATCCCTGTGGCACATCAGGCTCTGCGTGAGCTGACGATTCCCCTCTGTTCCAGTCCAGATCTGGTGTGAGCTGACGGTGGTCTGCTGCTCTGCACCTCCAGCTGTAGCAGGAGCTGACTGACCTCAGTAATCACCCTCTTCATCCCCAGGTGCTGCGGGAGCTGATGGTCACCCAGGTGGTCAACTCCGAGGAGCCGCAGCGGCTGCTGCGCCGCGGCTCGTGCGTGTTCAGCCGCGTCTACAAGGCGTTCTGCGAGGGCCTGTTCGAGGCCAAGCTGTTCCTGACGTCGGCCCTGCACCAGCCCACCATGCAGCTCATCATGGACGACGAGTGGTACCTGGACATCGACCCCAACAAGGTGCGACGAGCCTTAGTGCACTCGTAGGAATTCATCCTATGGGCTCTTAGTACTGAGGCATTCCACGATAGATCGACCAAAGCCGTACACCCACATACTGAGCGAGTACTCGCTCAGTATGTGGGTTAGCTAATGGGCGGCTCTGACGTTGATGGCCGGTAATGAGTCATGGAGGGAGCAAGATTCTGTCATGCATTGTCGTGGGATAGCTTGAGTTCTTGCGCTTTTTAATATTTTAACTAATGTGACACTGGTGTGCCGCGTGGTTTAGGTTATGCCCTGTGCTCGTGTTGCCAGCCCCCCCCCCCCCATCCTTCTGGCCCGTAACTGCTGCCGGTGGAAGGTCTATGGGAGGGGTCCATCATTTCCCCTGTGTTTGAACAGTTACCCCTGTCCCTGGCCCCTTCACCGCCAGGTGGACGAGGGTCTGTCTGCATTACCCCTGTGGTCGTACGGTCACCCCGCCTTGCCCCGTCACCGCCAGGTGGACGAGGGCCTGTCTGCATTACCCCTGTGTTCGGACTGTCACTCCCCCCCCCCCCCCGACAGGTGGACGAGGGCCTGTCTGCGGAGGAGCGCGCCGCGCGGCCCGTCTCCGGGGACGGGCCGCCCCACTCGGCCGTCGCCGACCGGCTGGCCCGGCTCACGGAGAGTTTCGTCTCGGAGATCACGGCCAGCGCGGCGTGCTTCCCGGCCAGCCTGGCCTGGGTGGTGCGCACGCTGCGCGAACTGCTGGCAGAGGCCGGCCGCTGCTCGTCAGACCAGCTGAGCGCCATCTGCGTGGACCTCATGTTCGCCTTCTTCATCTGCCCGGCCGTGGTGGACCCGGTGCAGTACGGCCTCTTGGAGGCGCCCGTGAGCCCAGCGGCGCGCCACAACCTGATCCAGGTAGGGCAGATTCTGCAGGTGCTGGCCATGGACCAGGCGGACCAGGTGGACCCGCGCCTGCGGCCCTTCTACGACCGGTTCGACAAGGCCCGCATGCCGGCTCTGGTGTCGGCGGTGCTGGCCGGCGGAGGCGGCGCCGAGGCCGGGCCGGCCGGCGGGCCGCCAGAGCGTGGCTCGCACCTGGTGGGCCTGAGCCGCTCGGCTGTGTTGGTGACGCGCCAGCACCTGGACCACCTGGTGACGCTGGTGCGCGGCCTGGCCGCCCGCTCCGCCGACCCCGCCGACAAGAAGCTGCTGGAGGGCCTGGTGGCGCACCTGCCGTCTCCGGAGCCGCCGCCGCCGCCGCCCCCGCTCCCGCCGGCCGCCGGCGCCGGCCATAGCCCCGGGACGGCGCCCCAGGGCGGCCAGGCCGGCCACGGCGCCGGCAACCAGGGAGGCCGGCGGAACCGGATCATGGACAAAGGTGGGACACTGGGGAACATCGGGCCACGGGGGGGGGGGAAGCACCGTTTGATATTCTTATAGTTTTTGTTTGTAATATGTCGCAACTCGGCAACGTGTAAATGGTCCATATTTGTCATTATTAGTCATGGTGACAACTATCGTGCGAGATATCGCACGCATTACCCCCTGTCCGTGCCTGACCCGCGTCTGTTTGTGTCCGTCAGTGCACCAGCGTCGCGCGCGCAGTATCGGCGGCACGGCCGGCGCCGCTCAGCCGGCTCCCTCCGAGGAATCGGCTCTGGAGGTGCTGGTGGTGTCGCTTAACACTCCCGGCGCCTGT